ATATATATATATATATATATATATATATATATATATATGAAAAAGTGTTTACATGCCTAATTAAAAATCTGACGGATCAGAATTTTTGGAATACTTTCATTAACATACTTAGAAAAATAAGAAATGCAATCACAGACGAGATCCACCACAAAACAAAAACTCCATTAGTTAAGCAGGCCAGTCCCATTCATCCACGTGTTCGGACGAGAATTTCCACCGAACACGTCATTTTTAAGAATCCACGTGCACGCTGCCCACGCTACCAATTTTAATACAACAAAACAAGAATGATCAGATTGATTTGACTGAAACACGTGGCCCTAAGAAGTGGGTTTCCTATTTACTTTGCACCGTTAATCCAAGACAACATGCGATCTGAGATCAATAAGTGCGGTCTAGTGGGGCCCACTTGATTACGTAGTCCCTGGGGCAAACCACCTAAGCTGAATTTAGGGGTCGGAGTGGACCCATACCCCCTCAAGTTTTTGACCTTTCGATCCAAGAAACGATACCTAGATAGTTCCACTCTGGGTACGGATTCTGTTATAAATCAGGTGAGCATTTGAATCTGGATTTTTAATTTACGTAAAAGTCAAAACTTCAATTTTAAAATTATTTTAATATTTTTCTTCTTCCTCTAAATCCCCGTATGGCTGAAACCCATTGGGATCCTCCCTCACTGTAATTCTCCCTCACTCAGGTTTATTGAAACATTGCTCTATCTCTAATTATTCACGCTTAAGAAATTAGTTCTATGATGTTCACCATTGTAGGTTACAAAAAAAAGAAGCTCATAATATAAGTGGCAATGGACCCGACCAGACTTGACACCCGACGTGATATGCTCGGGACCCGACAGGTACAGGTATAGCTCCAACTTTTGGACCCGACGGATATGAATATGGGGTCCAACTTTTGGATTCAACAGATCGGATCCGGGTCCAAAACCTGGACACAAATACATTTGGGTCTAGATCCGGTCCAACAGAACCAAACCCATACCCGACCCGTTTGCCACCCCTAGTTCAATTTATGTACTTTACGCAAGTTGACATTCTGTTCCTACGAGATCATAGTGTGGACTTGCTGCTGTGGGCACGCCACCTGGTTAAGTGACTTTCAAAATTTTCACAACAGTTTGATTTATTTTTGTTATCAATGAGCGCCTATGGGTGTAGTCTCGCGGGAGCATGTATGTACTCCCTTGAGCAAAAGACTTAAATTATTGGCATGAAAATTTGGAATCGATGTTATTTTATAAAAAAGAAAAAAATTTGGATGGTGCTGATGTTAGGGACACCATATTCTTTTTGGGTAGAATGCTATAATGTATTTCTATCAAAAAATAAAAATAAAAATAAATAATAAATAATAAATAATAAATAATAAATAATAAATAATAAAATAAAAAATTAATAAGATGAAAGAGAGGAGGTTATGATCGGACTTTTTCTTGTCAGAATTTTTATTTTATACATGTTTTTTCTAGTGGCACCCAAAATTATGCATGGAAATTTTAGAAAATAATTTTTTTTCTTTTATTATCTCATCAATATCTGTGGTCGAAACAACGATTTTAAAAAAATGTCGTGGGTGAAAAAAAATAAAATTGATTGCGAATTACAAAGAATTTCTGTCATTTTAAACCAATAAGTGGTACAAAAACATTATTCAACTCCTAATAGTTGGGGTAAGATGCTCGTATAAAAACATGAAAAACATCAAATCAAAAGACAAATTTAATTCATTTATCTTCTTTTTTTCTTAGTGCATGTTTCCTTCTCTTTTCTTTGTTGAGAAAATTACGTACAGGCATTGTTGGCGGGGGATCAATTACAAAACGGGAACATTGTGTTCCCAAATTATAGGTGTCACTCCCAAGCATATTTTCCCAGTTTACTCCATTGTTTTGTAAACCGAATACCGGACCAGGGTTTTTGTACTTTTTAATTGAAAAAACGTTACCTGTTGTTCGAATTACCAGATAGGTCTATAAGTTTTTAAAGTTTTAAAGTTTGTTGTCCGGTTTTAAAAATACCGGACAGAGTCTTTTTAACTTACAAAATGAAAACCCCTCTTCGGTGTTCAATATACCGGACAGTTGCTTGGCTCCTTTTAAATGAAAAGATCTCCCATTCGCTCTACTCTATTTGCTCTGTAGTGAAGCTTGCTCTGTGGTGAATCCTAAGGCCCAAGTCAAGCACTTATCTCGATTTGTGTTTTCTGAATCCAAGCCCTTTGTGTGACATTCGAGCAAGCTTCTCAAACCTCAATCGAATCAAGTATGTTTTAGGATTTTTTTTGAGGTAAATGAGATTTGGAACATTAGGGTTGTGGGATAAAATAACCCCAAAATTTATAAATGACGGATTAGGGTTTTTGGTTCACTTATGAATGTTCATTTTTCTATTTGATTGTGATTGAAAATATGCATTGTTAGGCCTTGTTATATATTCAATTGCAGTGATAATGAATGTTTATCGATTGTTGAAAACAAAAAATGATCGGGAATGCCTTGAATGTAGAGCTGGGTTCCCTTATTTTAAATATATTATTTTATCAAATAATGAACTCAATCTTAGGGTTTAATGGATTTTTATTGATTGAATGTATAAGGATAGCTTCAGCCATGGCATATTCTTTTACTTTGTTAATAAAAAAATGTATTATGCTCTTGTATGAGAGTAGTGTTGGTCATGGGAAAAAAACCCCAATACTAAGGGTTTTTTGTTTTATCTAGAATATTAAGGTTATGCAATCTTATAGGAAAAAACCCCACATCTAGATTTTAGGTTATTTCTATTTGATCTCAGTTATGTTATAGCATATGATGTACAAATTTTTTAATGATTATGCTAGATCTATTTTATTTTTTATTTTTATATTTTTTGGTCTTGTTGGAGCTTATGGAGTAAGAAATCTATACCAATTATGTGGACCTTATAATATTAATTATACTTACTAGATTCATTCATGGCCACTAGTGGAGTTAGATTATGGGTTCACCATGGTGGTTATTTTGAGTATAACGAGTATGACAGACAGACAATTTATAAAGATGGTAACTTAAAAGCCACAGTATATAAGGGGGACGACTCACTACAGCAATTAAAGGCTCATATCAGGTCTATATTGAGCTCTAACCTAAACAGTTTGAAAATTATATACGAAGAAAATGAGCACTTAGTTGAGTTAATAGATGATGGGGATGTATCATGCATGCTGATGGTTGCCTCCAATATATTCCTATGTGTTGCAAACCAGCCATCGCAACCAAAACTAGTGGAGCGTCAAACCTTGGTTTATACATCTGCTCCATCAACAAGAGATAGGTATGTGTGACGAAAGGCCTTCAATATTTATATTTTAATGAAATAGAATTATATTTAAACTACATGTGGATCGATACCTACTAAATGCTTGAAAGTTTTTGTCAAAGCTACCCTTTTGTATAAGTAAATGTCCATACAAAGAGGAATACAGCAGTAGTGCAAGGGTCAAAACCTGGGGTGAGTTTGTGATGGGATGTGATTTAGACGACACGATGCCCTTAGAGCCCCTATGCATATCAACACGTCCACGGGTTGACCTAGTTGTGGGACAGGATTTCGAGACTGTTGTGGATTTACATAATCACTTAGTTCATTGCGTAATATATCATAATTTTGTGATGAAGTACTATAGAAATGATAAAAAAAAAAGTGCATGCATACTGTAAAGGAGCATTGGATTGCACTTGGTGGATGCAGTGCTCTAGAGTTGGACAGTCAAAATTCTTCAGTGTGAGAGAATTTAAAAATAAGCACACGTGTAGAGGACCAATGGACATAACGAATTTTTTGCACCACAACAAATGGATAAAATGCTAAGAATTTCAAAGCAAGAACACTGCAAAAAAAGGTATAACCATATACTAAAGCAACTAAAACTAGGTTGGGGTGAGACATTATTAGAAGAATGTATGCAGTAAAACTATTTACCAACCCATATTACCCATAAGATATGAAATTAGATGGCATGGTATATATCATTGACTAGAGCATAAGTTTAAAATACATTTCCTTGAATATTGTAAGACACCCCCATTCTATCAGATTAAGAATAAGTGTGACCTCCTAATAGTATCATATACATTAAGAAAACCACCGTCATCACATCATAAGCACCAGTGGAGTAGAAAACGAACTTAGAATAATTAACTAAGATAAAACTGGTGAATGAGCTGAACACAAGTGAATCAGCTTTATAGATACACGAATATCCCAGGGTAAATTAATAAAGGGTTGTTTACATCGACATAAAGACAAAGAATCAAGAATTGCTAAAATCAATGGCAATTTGTTGATATTAAACAACAATGCATACTTCTCAATGATTGTGTACATAAAATCAAATCAAGAAAAATTCATGAGTTATTGGAGAATAATGTACGGAAAAAAAATCAAGCAAGATTTAGATATTGCATAACTCAATATCCTACATTTTTTTAAAAAATAATCATCTAGTTATTCTTAAAAAAATCCCAATATTTCATATAAAAAAAGCTCCACGTGGTGTTTTTGCCCTAGAGAGAATATACATCACGAGATGGACAATCTAGTTCCAATTTCCACATGAAAGTACAAATGAATACGTGATCCAAAGAATACCATGCCGAGAACTCGAAATTAAGAAAACACTAATGCAATTAACGCTGGAAACTAACATAACAAAGAACTACTATTACAAATATAAAGAACAAAAAAACCACAATTGGGTGTTCAGAAAAAAAAGAAAATACTCAATACGCGATTTTGGGTTATTTTATCCCCAATACCCTAAACACCCAAATCCTATTTTCAAATCCAATCAAATAATAATATAAATATCCAAAAATTCTAATCAGAAATTTCACCCATTTTGGGATTATTTTATCCCCAAAACCCTAATTCCCAAATCTTATATTCCCCAAAAAAACAAATTCCGAAACATACCTGATATGATTCGATTGAGAATATTGTGCTTGGAATTAATAGAGATTGAGCGAAAATAGTGCTGGATTGGCAAAATGCCAAAGAGAGAGAGAGAGAAGAAGAAAAGGGCACCCATGTTTGGTAGAGCGTAGCAAAATGGGGCTTTTTTAGTTTAAAAGAGCTACACTGAACAAATTCTTTTCAATTAAACGCACAAAAACACATGTCCGGTATTCATTTTACCGGATAGGGAGTAAACTGGAAAAAAAAACGTCGAGGGCAGGGGTGCTTCTCATTTTGTAGTTGACCCCCAACAATGCCCGTATGTAATTTTCTCTTCTTTCTTATGGCCAAATTCGCTCTAACATGGCAACTTATGCATGGACTATTTGCTTAGTTCAGCTTATCAAAATAAAAAAAACATGCGACTTGTATAAAGCCGAAGCTCTAAATAATCAAAATAAAACGCACCTTTAAATAGTGTTTAGAAATGTGGTTTTAATATTGGAAATCTTTGTGATAACCGTAAAATATATTTTCATATTTAAGTAGAAAATTTAAAGCTTGAAAAACAGTGTAGATCAAACAAATCTATAAAAACTTGAAAATTGACCGTCTAAAAATACGTTTCAAGAAGTACTATTTTCCAAAACTTGAAATCCATTTTTTTCATGTCTATATATTTTGATATGGAGATGATGAGGAGGATATTTGGGCATCAAAACAACCTCTTCTAATGAAATTTGGCTCCCTATAAACTTGTTCCAAATAAAAAGAGTTAAAATCCACGAGAATACGGAGAGCAAGTTAACAGGAGAAATAAGCGGATGCATTTTGTTGGCATGCACACCTGGCGGTGGACATGCATACGCATTCCTCCTTTTCATGGGTACACTGTCGACCTTCTTCCTCTCTCCAAACCAAAAATTATGTTGTTGTCGATGGCGATGTTAACGAACAGCGATTTCAACGGCAGAGAGAGCGAATGAATTTGCAGGCATCTCGTGACACCCACCCACCAAATTTCCATAATTTTTATCTCCGGCTCACATGTCAATGTAACGCTTTCGAAGATGGCTAATCTCCCCCATCTCTTTCTAGGATCACGCGTCCCTCTGTCTCCATTTTACACTCAACCCTCCCTTTCCAAATAGAACTCCCCTTCTTTTTTTCTCTCCAATACATTTAATTATCATCAGTCGGATCGCAAGCGTTGAAATGAAATGAAATAAATAATTATGTAATCGGTATGTTTCATGCATTTATGTAAATAATTTCATAAATATGCGATAGAATAGTATATTGATATGCATTCAATAATTAATTGATTTTCCAATGGGAAAATCCATTCTATTGCATGTAAAATTATCTATGATTAAATTTATATTTACCTAATTGTTTTAATATTCATTATAATATTAATAACACATTATTAATGTTGATTCTAATATTACTATAAAAACAGTTAACGATGATACTTTAAATTATTTTCTTAATTTTAAATTAATTATAATAAATTCATATAATATTATTTTTATTATTTTCATATATTAATAATATTTAATTCTAATTTTAATAAACTATACTTCTTATTCTCATATTGAAATATTTATAATTAGATATAATTATGATATTCATGAGAAAATTATATTTGTTTTTTTATTGCTTTATTAGTGATATGTTATAACAATTAAAGGCATCCTTAGTTAAATTGGTTGATTAATTATTTTTTAATTGTAAATTTTAATATATAGATATATATATATATATAACTATATTTAACAGCACCTGTAGTTTTAAAGAATTTGAGCTTTTAAAAGTATGCTCATAAAATTTGTATATTTTGAAATAACTATTAGAAAATAACATGCATTTGACATTTTATTTTACACAAGATGCCCTTTGTCTTACCTACTTTATTTATGTGTTTAATATCACCGCTAGTTTTAAAGAATTTGAGTTTTAAAAGTATGCTATAAAATTTGTATATTTTGAAATAAATATTAAAAATAACAATATATTTATCTTTTTATTTTATTTTTGTCCAAGTCATCCCATACCAGACCCATCTCTGTTCCATGGACGCCTCTCGTCACTGGTTCTATGGACGCCTCTCGTCACTCGTCCAATTATCAGACCAGGGAATCCTCATTAAAACGAGAGAACATCTTCTTCTGATAAATCAAGGTTTAAACTAGGTTGTGCTTTGCATAAGGTTCCAACCCTTTGTTTTTTTGGTAAGTAAAACATAAAGTTCCAACCTCATAATCGGAACAAGGTTCATCTCCAAACCATCGTTTGGGTCGACTTGGGCCTGACCGCGTTACTCACTTCTAGTTGAGCATCGTTTTGATGGTCAAGTTAGGATCTTCAAAAAAACATTTTAAGAGCTACAAAAAATAAAAAAATTATTTGTAATATATTTTTTATCATTTTAGCAAAAATTAGCAAGTATTTTTTGTTATTAATATTCTTTCTAAAAATTTTCCTTCTTTTAAAATAATTTCTCAAATACCTGTTGTCACAAATCGAATTTTGAAAATCTGTTTTTTTTACCATTTTTTTAACCTCAGATGCATTTTTTAAAATTTTACTACAAACATATTTTGTAGTTTTTTTTTAAAAGTTTTTGTATTTTTTATTTTTTATCGCTTTTTAGCCTAACCCCACGCTGTCAGGGTTACTCGGAACCATCCAAGTTATTTGGCCTTTACCGAGATCAGGTACCGTGCCAGAGTCTGGTTTTTTTAAAACTTTGTTATGAGAAACAATTTTGATGTCAAAAATTCTTTAGGATGGTGAGAGAGTCTATTTTTATATATAATTATAAAACTTTAAACTCTAAAAGTGGTATATATCGAGCACATTTATCAAAATGTTGAAAATAAACTATCTATGTAATATATTATAAGATTCATTATTTTTAAGACAATGTTTTTTTACCAAAATCTTGAAAATAACATAATTCTCAACCTTTATATAAACTGTTTCTAACCAGGGAAACCATATTCTCTCCCTGTTTTCGTGAGTTGACAGCAGACATAAAGCTACCTCTTGAGTTCTGAGTGTCTCTCACTTCATTATCATTATTTACTACTATTTATCATCTATTTATCTATCATTGGACCCCTCTCTCTGTTTCTCTCTACAAAGAATCTCTCTGTTTCTATTTCTCGCTTTACAAAGAATCTCTCCGTTTCTGTTTTTGTCTTTACAAAGAACCGGTCTTTCAGGCAATTCACGGCATTGTGATCTTGTGGGAAGTTAGTAATCATGGGGATATTGCAGATGCCATTAAATTATTCAAATGTTAGAATGAAGGCTCATGTGCCGGTTCAGAAAAACAGGGGAGGTTTACTGAGTGTGGAGGTTAGTGGTGATAGAGTTTCAACCTCTTTTAATGGAGGTTTCTCTGGAGCCCAGTTGAAGAAATGTATCAAAAGTATCAAAAGCAGGAGTCTGTCTCCAAAATTCAAAATGGGTGTTGCTTACTCTGTTCTTGCAGATGTTGACAAAGAGATCATGGTAATTATTTCTTCTGCAACTCCCTTTCTTTAGGATCTCTGTGTGTGTGAAACTGACCCAGATTATTTCCAGCCATGAATGATACATTTCATGCTTCTTTTTTCAAGTCAGAATATTTATATGATCTCATAATCAAGAACATTATATATAAAGATGTGCTTGTTTGTCCTATTTTTCATGGTGATTTCTGTTCTTTAAGAAAAAATTTGATCAGTTGGGTTCTTTGAGTTGGTTTCTACGTTTGCAGGAGAACTCAACAAATTTATGTAATAGCTCATAAATCAGTTTCTTCTTCTTTTTCTTTTGCTCTCTTAACTGTTATCCATTGTCTTTGTAGTTAGTTGAATCTTTAGGCAATAGAAAAGAATCCTTTCAGCTCCAGTTACCAATTTAATTTGATCAAATCTTTTTATTTGTTAGGCAGTTTAATATTTTATTGAAGTGTAGTTTTTCAATTGTTTGGTTAATATAATCGTATCAAATTATCGAAGTATTACATGGACCATGTTTCTTGCTGTTACTTTTAATAACTCCAATTATTCAAATAATATCTTTAATTACTATGATTTCTTATCTGGGGTTGAAATTTGGATGCAGCCTTTTCAGGCACCGATGTTTGAGAGGCAACATGCAGATCCCAAGAGCGTGGTTGCTATCATATTGGGTGGTGGTGCGGGGACACGCCTTTTCCCTCTTACTAACAGGAGAGCAAAACCAGCTGTATGTTTGTTTTCTTTTCCTTTAGAATATAGATCCTAGTAAGTTGAATTGGCTTTTGCTTTGATCCTGGCCTTTATATGGGAAATGGGTGACTGGTTTGCAGTTTTATCCATGAAAGTCATCAGGGAGGCATTATAAGTTTAAATCTTCTTTTTACTTGACATTTTTTGTGTAACTTTCTAACTCAAATACAAGAACATGAACTTTACAATTTTTAATTTTTTCGCAACTTTATCATTCTTTTTGTAAAGAGGTGGGATCGGCAGGCTCTTCGACTTTGAGATGGAATTTCTGGAATTTTTTTCTAATATTATTATTACTTTCTCATTTTTCTTTTTATTGAATCTTTTTCTCAATTGAACACTTCTCTCTATTAAATCTTTTCTAATTCAATTGGTTCCACTTGAGCTTCCTTTTCTGTCTTTGATTGCTGGTATTTATCTATCTTCCCTTCCTAAAAATTCAGTCATGTCGTGACCTAACTTGTACAAGTAAACCAGGGGTTGTCCTTAAAAGAGAGTAATGACCAGTTGAATATGATAAGTCTTTGTCATGTTCGCGTATATGTTTGCAGCCCCATGCTAGTCTCTCTCTCACACACATCGAATGAAGTTCCATATTGTTTTATTCCATAGACCTATCTATCCTTTGGAGCTGATGTTACATATTATTGACAGTTTTGTGGTGCTATTTTCAGGTACCAATTGGAGGATGTTACAGGCTTATTGATGTGCCAATGAGCAACTGTATTAACAGTGGAATAAACAAGATATTCATATTGACCCAGTTCAACTCTGCTTCCCTTAACCGGCACCTTGCTCGGACTTACAATTTTGGAAATGGTGTAAATTTTGGCAATGGATTCGTTGAGGTAAGTTTTTATTCACACTTGAGGATTCCATTTGAGGCCATTTGAGGCATACTTGTGCTTTACTTCACTTTAGAGTGATTGGGTAGAGAATTATTTTTGCTTTTTCCCTCTTTGGCATGATTTTTTACCGTATTGGTCCACAAACATTTGATGTTTGTTCAATAAATAGGTTTTAGCGGCTACTCAGACGCCTGGTGAAAGTGGAATGAACTGGTTTCAAGGCACTGCTGATGCTGTAAGACAATTTGTCTGGCTCTTTGAGGTGGGTTTTATAGATCTTATATTATATTTGTTATTATCATAGAAGATTTGTGGATATTCATGAATGCATTGTGCATTCGCGCAATATCTTATTATTTCTCAGGCGCTGAATGATTTGATTAGTTGGTGAATATCTGATTCTTTTTTAGAAGGTCTGATTCTTAATCAACCTTATCTGAATTTCTAAATTTTATTCGGTAAATCAAAGAAGGTTCTTTATGCATTTTCTGTTTCACAAAATGTTTCCATTTTGCACAGTCAAACAACTGGAAAGTGGAAATGGGATCAAAGTTTTGCTGGAGTTCCCCAAACTTCTTTCTCTTCTTCTTGCTTTCTATTTTTGTGTCTTTTCAGTTTAATATTTGAGGCAGATACTATAGTAAAGTCATGATGATAGTATTTACAAGCATGTGAATGTTGGTTAGTGGATGATTTAGTTTGAATAGACCAAGACTATATAGGTTAGTATTTGTGCAGGTGCATTACAGGCTGCTTTTCCTTCTGCATGTGTGTACAGTGTGAGGAGGAGAGCTTATTGTGTTAAAGACTAGTCCTTAAAAGTGCATTGATTATTTCTAATAAATTAAGGGAATGTGGTTACAAGATGTTACCATAGCTGAAAACCCATAAAACTGCCCAAATACTAAAAAAGGGAATCCCATACCTGAAATATATTTGATAAAATTTTCTTGCACAGATTAGTCAACACTTAAATCTCTCAATTTTCCAGGATGCCAAAAACAAGGACATTGAGCATATTCTGATCTTGTCTGGTGATCATCTTTATCGGATGGATTATATGGACTTTGTGCAGGTATGAACATTTTCTGAAACTACCAAGCTTTTGCAGTTTACTTTTTGACCAATAGCTTTTGCAGTTTACTTATCCCTGCATTTAATTGAGACTCAGCTCATGAGTTGTGTTTATATGTGTACAGAAGCATATTGACACATCTGCAGATATTACAGTTTCGTGTGTACCAATGGATGACAGGTAAATGTTTCCACATATTAGCCCCATTATTTGACAGTGATAGTTCTGTGAATTTCTAGAATACATTTCCTTTTCCTCTTCTATTTCTATCAGTCCCTAGACGTGATCTGGGCACCACAATTTTATTTGACACCCTCAAATTTTTTGTATGACATCCCAGTCTCTATGTGTCCGCTTAAAGTCTTCTGTACTATTGTCTCAGTCACTCAATTATTTTATAACACAACAATAAGTCGTTTATAAAGAAAATAATGCAAGAAAAATACACATGATTGTATACTTTTATGTGTAAAATTTTATCACTGTCTCATTCTTGTAATTTTCCCTTTTATGGTTCCCTGTTTTTACTTGTAATATGTTAATTCTGCATCAGTATGTAAATGCTACTGATAGATAGTTGTTTTTGTTTCATCGAACCCACATTCAGCAGCTAGTAAATATTCTATGGTATTTGATTGGTACTTAGCAACTCACTTGAGCCACATTTCACCCTTATTATATCCTTGCATTGAATGGCTCATAGGCATCATTTGTTCTGTGAAAACTATTGTCTAAGTTGACCTGTTTCATGGTAGTCGTGCCTCGGATTATGGGTTGATGAAGATCGCTAATACAGGCCGCATCCTCCATTTCTCAGAGAAACCTAAGGGTGCTGATCTAAAAGCCATGGTATGGACACATTTTTACTCATAATTCTGATCCTCATTCTTGCTTTCTGTTTACCCTCATATTTTTAGCGCTTTAAGATTTGATGGCTGAACATTCCATTATGATCAATCCATTTAGGTATGCATGTATGTATTTAAATATGTATTGTATATGTGCAAGGAATAAGGATTGTTTGTATATATAGATATACATGAGATAGAGATAGAGAGAGAGAGAGAGAGAGAGAGAGAGAGGAGGAGAGAGAGTATCTATTATCGCCATGTGCTTATTTCTTTTAGTAGTAAGTTGGTCGTTCGTTGGTGCAGACGTAAGTGGACT